AGAGGTTGTCTATTGGAAACAGGGTTCACTTGTAAGTGCCTGTAAGTCCCAATTCATGTTTATTTTCCTGTTTTAACATCATCTCCTTGTCTTCCGATTTAATTTTTTCTTGTTATGTATCTATTTGTTGATATCTTTGTACATGTCCAGTTTGAAATTCTCCAAGTCTCTTGTATGTGTAGATTATCACTTTTTAATAAATTTGGGACATTTTTAGCCATTATCTACTTATTTTTTTTCTTTTTTCCTACTCTTTTCTTATCTTGTCTCTTTCCAGTATTCTCACTATGCCTAGGTTAGGACACTGTTAAGGACACTGTTACATTTCTCTGAGGATTTATACAGTTTTCTCCTTCCACACCTTATTTTAACCTCTATTCTTGTATTACACAATCACTGATTTGATTTCAAATGATTCTGCCAATTTAAATCTGTTATTGATCCCCTCTAAAGATTTTTTTTCATTTTGTATTATGCTTTTAAACTCCAAAATTTTGACTTTTTTCCTCTGTGTCTCTTTATTACTATTTTTGATGAGATGTGCTATTTTTATTAAAACTTCCTTTGCTTTTTTGGTTCTTTGAAAATAATCATAATAGTTTTATCACAGTCATTGTTATATATGACAGCTGATCACACTTATAGGAGTTTCTCTTTCCTGTGCACACACGCGTGTTTTCTGTGCGTGTGTGTGTGTACAGGTTTTGCTTTCTTGTTTCATATTATATCTAGTAAATTTTACTGTTGGTAATAGGGTATTTTATATTATATATTGTAACAATTCTAGGCTCTATTTTTCTCCTCTGGGAACTGTTATAATTTGCTTAATTCTTTAGTGACTGGTAAAATTATTTTAAGGTTGTATGATTCCTCCTTGCTGTGTAAAAATCTCTGATGTTACTCTTTAGGTGACAACTGTAGTATGCCTATAGTCACTTTGGTATGACAGTGAAGGATCCTTTTTGTTTATCTCTTTTCCTGACCATATCTAACTGTTAAATTTTACTAATTTAGGTCTGATTACTCTGTCTTTTTTGTTGTTGTTCTTATTGTTTTTTTTTTGTTGTTGTTGTTGTTTACTGAACAAGTCTTAGGGTATAAATTGCTTCATAGGTTTATCCAATCAAACTGTGGTTCCTTTGAAGGGTCAGTTCCTTGAGGTCAATATTGATATTTTTTGTGACCCAGAGTGCTCATTCCATGAGTTTCTTCCCAATTTTTCTCTAATGAATTAGCCAATAATATCTCCAACAAATTTATCAATCTTCTACCAATTTTCTTCTATATGACATGAATTTCTCCACATTACATTTTAAATGAAATTAGTTCATTTTGAGTGGGACTTGGAAATCTCTGTTCTATGTCTAGTTTTTCATCCAAAGAAAGAAAGTCTTTGAGCCACAGCTCTGGTACCAAAACAGGGCCAAGTACTCAATGCTATATTTCTCTTCAAATGACAGCTCTATGTTGGGAGCTAAGAGCTTTATACATGGGTGAGAGAACTGACTGATATCTCTAGATCTTCTCAACCAACCTCTCTTGGCTTGAACCACCCACTGAGTCTGGGTTACGGTGACAAAGGACCTGGACTCCCAACCATACCATGCCCCAGGAAAAGCCTTCATCCTCTGATTAGGGTTTCAGCAAATTAATTAATTAATTAAAAAAATAAAGGAAATCTCCTCTTGACTATATTTACCCAGGAATTTGTCTATAACCAGTAGCTGAGAAAAGGAATAGTTCTGCCTCTTCAGGGAAAACTATCTTTTGAGCGATAGTTCTGGAGGTAGAGAAGGGATCTTGGAGCTCTTGTCTGTGCCAGTCCGAACTGGAGTTTTCATCACAGAGAAAGGATGTATGTAGTATATGTATGTAGTAAATATATATATTTATTTCAAATACCAGAAATGTTCACCTTTCTTACTGTTTCAGAACTTTTATTGAATAAATATTTATTTGCTGTATGCTTTTAAGGTTAATCCCTGAGATTTAAAATTATTGGATTTTGCTTTGCTTTGTCTGTTTTAAATAACTTACACCAATATTATGGGAAGTATGTCAGTAGGACTCCCCAGGCTGTCATGAAGGAGGTGAAACTCAAAGGGAATTTGTGGTTTACCCTGCTCTTGGTAATCTTGAAGAATACTGCTATGCAAGGAATCTGGCTATGTGGGGCATCCCATAATAGTTAAGATTAGGATTGTATGCCCCTGTAGAGAGAGGGAGGGCATTCACTTAGGATTCTTGAACTTTCCTAAGTTCCTATATGGTAGACACTGGATTGAAGTAAGCAGAGTAATGACAAAGCAATTTTGGATAATCTTACAAGACTACATCCAAAGTAAGATATGAATGACATAGCTATATCTAAAATACCTGTGTAAGAAGATATGGGATCAAAACAGCAAATGAGTGGTGTTCCAATCCAGAACAAAGCAAAAGGAAAGTAACAAGACATTACAGAAGTTTCAAATGTTAGCTGAATATACCAAAAGAATTCCAGGATAATAAGGGTTATGTACTCGGAACTATCACTCAGAATATACCCAGGCAATAAATGGGACCAAGTGTGCTAATCCACAGTATGTCATTCTATATGATTTCTCACAGTTAATTAATTTAAAATATTTATTATAGACTATTATCTGACCACAGTTTAGAAAAAAACAGAATTTACAGATGAGGATTTTTCTTAAAGCAAAAATCTGTGATTCAAATCTAAGAAGGGTTGGAGAATTTTGAATTAGAGATTTATTGTAAATGCATCTTTGAGAATAATGCAGCCTGGTGAGATTTTTCCATCTGTAGAAATCAGCTTCTTAATTTCAATTCCATCTTAAGATTACTGTGTATGATGCTCACAAGCAATTAGCCTATGACCTGTTACCTAACCTGGGGGTGTACAAATGAAGAATTATTACCTCATTTCTAAGAAAGAAACACATGAATATGAACCCATGGAAAATAAATAGTTTTCTTTTATTCCAGTGTACCTTACATTTTTTCTTATTTAAAAATCACTTCTGAGTACAGGGGACCTGGGTGAGTTTGGACCTATAAGCTCTAAGGATTGCCAGGAAGTAATCGGGAGAGAAATAGTTAATTAGACTGTAGCCCTTTCAGTTTCTCTAATTAGAGAAAAAAAGGGAAAAATTAAATATTTGACATGGTCACACGTTGATATTGGAAAAAATGCAAATTGGAACATGCATAGTACATAAAAATTCATTAAAGGAGAGTTTTCCATACTGTCTCCCTTTCTCCCTTCCTCCCTTTGCGTTTTTGGTTCTCTCTCTCTCTCTCTCTCTCTCTCTCTCTCTCTCTCTCTCTCTCCCCCCTTCTCTAATTCATTCTATTCATCTGGTTTTGGAGGAGGAGGAGGACTGGTGCATAATGGATATTAAGATATGAAGGGCACTCAGAGCTCAAAATTGTGAGTCTCCAGGCATTTAGCTGTTCAGGAATATTACCTTTAGATTCTATGCCTTAGAAAAGCAATTAGATAAACCATATTTAGAGAACATAATCAAACCCCTAAGGGAAAGTTTTGTTTTGTTTTTGTTTTTGTTGAATACTTGGGATTGAACCTAGAGATACTTAGACATTGAGCCACATCCCCAGCCCTTTTTAATTTCTTTCTTTAAATTTTGAAACAGGGTCTCCTTAACTTTCTTAGAGTCTCCCTAAATTACTGAGGCTGTCTTTGAACTTGTGATCCTCCTGCCTCAGCCTTCTAAGCTGCTGGGTTTATAGGTGTGCATCACCTCACCCAGCTTAGAAAGTTGTCTTTTGAAGACATGTGTGTAGAGAATAGACCATTGATAGTGGAGATTGAAAACCTCCAAAGAGTTATTAATTCTAAGCCCAACGCATAATACACGTTTACTTATTTATCTATGTTCTTAATGGTCATCTTCATCTTTTTCAGATGGTTTCTCAAATGGTTCAGTTTGGTAAAAATGCCCCTGGCCTCCTCAAAGAGACAGACTTCTCCAACCTTCAGAAAATTCTTAAGTGGGCTGGGGTTGTGGCTCAGTGATAGAGCGCTTGCCTAGCATGTGCAAGGCCTGGTTCGATCCTCAGCACCACATAAAAATAAATAAATAAAATAAAGGTGTCATGCCCAACTACAACTAAGAAATAAATATTAAAACAAAAAATTCTTAGGTGGCCAAATATGCAGAAGTTGACTAGAGTTGAGAAGGACAAAGCTTCTCAGATATACCAACTTATATCTCTTTAGGGTATGTGCAGAAGGAAGGTGACCAGTTGGGAAGTTTTAGTGGAGTAGAGAAAAAGTTTTCACGAGGGTCAAAAAACACAGCCCTAATTGCTAATATTAGTTATTTTCATAGTCTTTGTTCCTACAAGATTTAGGACTTAAATATTAAGTCTTTGTTCCTACAAGATTTAGCACTTAAATATTCTTTAGCCAAAAATATGCATTAAACAGATTAATTGGAGCGAATGGCCTGAAAGTCAGAAGAAGTAAAATCCATAGAACAACAGCAACAACAAAAAATTAAAGATACATAATAGATCCCCTTTCTCTCAGTTTTCTTATGGAATAGAAAGTATACATATGAATCCACTGGACAGGCAATAAAATTGTAAAATGTCTTTAATAACATTTGCCACGTTCTGAGAAAAAAAAGATTTGAAAGATTTGAGAAATTATTTATGGTATAGTTGGAAAAATTATCATTTTGAAACAATATAAAACATTATATTTTTATGTATTGCACAGTATCCACAATTGAACTGTTCGTTGTGCATTTGTTTGCATTCCTATACTTGATTACTTGTCTGTATGTACAAAACTTGAACTACACATGTCAAATCTAAATATCATCTGTTTCCTTAATCATCTGTGAAAATCAAATAGAGGACATAGATCTGAAGAAATCCAATCTCTTTTGTTTTATTTTTTATTTGTTCTAATTAGTTATATATGATAGTAGAATGCATCACACATGAATTGAGTATAACTTCACATTCTAAAAATTTTGAAACACTTCACGAATTTACATGTCATCCTTGCACAGGGCCATCCTAATCTTCTCTGTATCATTCCAATTTTAGTATATGCACTGCCAAAGCCAGCACTCCAATCTCATTTGAGATGATTTTTAGCACATTATGCTTGTTATAGTCATTGTATATCGGTCAAACTGACCCACAAAATAATCTTATGGAAGTTTAAATGGTTTTTGAATAAATGTAATGTAGGCCACAAGTGCTCAGGTTATTGAGACAAAGAATATATACTACTCGTATGAAATGTGATACCAAGATATGCTTGGAGACTCTGAACTCTAAAATTTGCAGGGTCAATGAGGAAGTCACTCATGTCCACCCCATATACAAGTATACCACTGCTATTTAAAAAATCAATCATCAAATATAATCCATATTCTTTTAAAAAATAAGTGACTCAAGTTTAGGAGGCAAAGAAGGTGGACCCTATTTACTCAGAAAAACCCAAGATATGCTTTTATAGCACCAGATGTTGAAAACATTCATCTTGCTCTCAGTCCTAAAGGGCAATTGTAGTATCTGCTTTATTATCATTTTAACTGCTCTTCATGTATGGTAGCTTAGAATTTGAGCATCACTGCAGCTCAGACATGGCACACAGAGGAGGCCACACTTAAACATTCATATTTTTTCCAGTAGTTTAAAGCTTTTTTTTATATACTTTCTGACAGGAAATAGCTGGAAGAAAGTAGTCAGTCTTAGATATCTGATTCATTGCATGGTTCCAGATCATCAAATTTAATTGTTCCTAGAGATCAAAGATACCCCCAACAAACCCAATTCATGATGCTCCAGCTCAAGATACTTATTATATATGAAATGGCTTATTTATCACTATATATTAAAAAGTAATTAGGTATTAGAGGATATACATTTATTTTTCCAGTTGAATATTCTTTGGTCCACAGATCTTTTGGAGTCAAAATCTTTCATAGTTTCACACTCTTCTTTGAAAACACAGATAATCTTAGAGTATTTGGAGCATGACTCCCCTAGACTTTTCTACAAAGTTAATTTCTTAAAAAATACATTTCTACAAACTGAGTTTGGTGATGCATGCTTAAAATCCCAGCAATTTGTGAGGCTTGAGCTGGAAGATTGCAAGTTCAGGACTAGTTTTAGCAGTTTAGTGACGCCCTAAGTAACTTAGTGAGAACTTCTCTCAAAATAGAAAGGGCTGGGGGTGTAGCTCAGTGGTAAAATCTTTCTAATTCCTAGTATAGAACAACAACAAGTCAGAGTTTGAGGTATGCTGATCTGATAGGAATTGCAATCCTATTTGATTGCAATGAATATTTTTCATGAGGCATTAGAAGAAGATAAGGATGGATAAGATCACTTGGATATAGGGTCTTGTTTTAGCCAGCTTTTTTGCCAAAAGATCTGACAAGAAAAAATTTAGAGGAGGAAAAGCTATTTGGTTCTCAACAGTCTCAGAGGTGTTACTCCATAGATGGCCAACTTCATTGCTCTGTGCCTGAAGCATGGTAGAATATAATGGCAGAAGAGTGTGGTGGAGGAAAGTGGCCGGAGAACATGGCCACCAAGGAGGGGGTGGTAATTCACTCACCAAGTACACGTCTACCCCAAAGGCACACCCCAATGACCCCGATCCTTCAGCCACACCCTACCTGCCTCCAATTACCACCTGTTAATCCCTATCAGAGGATTAATGCACTGATTAAGTTAAATTCTCATAACCCAGTCATTTCAACTCTAAACTGTATTGCATTGCTTCACACATGAATTTTGGGGAAACACCTAATATTTAAATCATAGTAGGTCTTAAATGACAAGCTAAAGTATATGTTAAAACTGGAATCTTAAGTTTTAATGCTCTTCCATGAACATAAAAACCTCTTATTTCCACTATCATTTTCATTCACACTCTCCATATTCACTCATTGTATGATCCTGCAGCATGACTGGGGGTGGGAGGGACACATGAGGAACATTTATTTCTTAAACACTAGTAAAGCAGGTTATGATGAGCACATACCCTTTTCCAGAATGTATTCTTGATGTACTCCATCTTACTAAAAACTTTAAGTAATAAAATACAACTATTTTTGAAGCTTCTTTAAGCATCAGTTACATTAGAAGGAAGGTTAAATTATAGCTCAGAAGCTACATCAGAGGAGCCAGGATGAATGTCCACTGGCCTCAAGATGAATGTGGTTTTAAAGGCAACTTGCACACCAAGAGACTATTAGTTCACACCACAGATTCCATTAAAAACAACAACAACAACACTGGGCCATAATGTCATATATAATGGAAATGGAAATGTTAGATAAAGGGGCAGAGGCTGCATTTATTTTTTTTTAAAGCTCCAGACATTTTGTTGCTTGTTACAAACTGTGAAGAGACAAAGCTATCTTTAATAAAAGGGTGTCTTTCTTGAATTTTTATCATCTGATTAATTGTCTTAAAATGTTTCTCAACCTCTGAAATTGTTCACATAGCAAATTGGAGAAACAATTCTACATATGTTAAGATGCTTTTCACTCTAAACAAATAGTTCCTTTCTATATGCATACTACAATTTTTGGAACCTATGTTTTACCCATTTTTCCCACTTAAAAGGAAATATCATTGTAATAATAGCTGAGGTGATAAGAAAACATATATTCTTACTTTGACTCCGCCACTATAAATGTCTGATGTTGAACCAGTCATTTTAGTGATCCTGTGTCTCATTTCCTCTGTTTTGAAAATAGGAAAATAAATCACTAGAATATTGATGTACATGCTCTCCAAAACAGTGCATGCTGAGGAATATAAGATTTAAAGGTGATCTATTCCCTTTGATTACTCTTACTGCTATCTGGAGCAATACACAAAGAAAAATATTCTTTGACCCAAAGGATTAGATTGTTGGTGGTTCCAAATAAGATTCTAAAAAAGAAAAAAAAAAAAAAAAACTTTAAAAAGAGCGGAATCGTTTTAATTGAAATACATTCTTATAATTTGATCATCATAATTACTCAAATCAGGTAACAAACAGCAATTATTCACTTTCATAGAGAAGGCTCTTAAATTAGTAGCAAGACTAAAAAGGAATAAAGCAGGAAATACAACATCTGTGCTCTTTGCACACTGCTCAATCTTCCCCAACATTTTGTGCACATTGAAGTATCAACTCTGTGGGCTTCCATCAGCCTGCTTTTGTGACCACAATTTCACTAGGCTATATTCATCTTCATTCGTTTAAATATTGGCTATGGGTTTTTAAAATTTATTTATTTGTTTGTTTGTTTGTTTATTTATTTTATTTTATTTTTCAATACTGGAGACTATAGCCAGGGCCTTGCACATGCTAGGCAAGTGCTCCACCACTGAGCTACATTCCCAATCCAGAGCTAATTTTGACAGACACTTTATTGCTTACAAAATCTAAAATATCTGAATATCTGTTGTTACTTTTTGGTCCTATATGGAAGATTATTTAGCCCTGTTTCATTTCATTAGTAGTGCAGATACTTGACATTTTTAAAGGTGGTGTACATCAACACCTTGCTTAGAATTATCTAGTTATTAGTATGTATTATTGAGAGAGGATGAAAGCAAGAAGAAAGAAGGAAATAGTTTGGGAAATAATGACAATTTGAGAATATGCCCATATTTAAATATACCTAATCTTTTCAGTGCAGGCTTTCTTATCAAAGAACTAACTAATATGGCTTTGCTAATAGAGGGTGGGTAGGAAATGAATAAATGAATAGTCTGACATGTGTTTTTTACTAAACAGACTTTTTATTTATTTTTACTCCAAGATCAAATGACAAGTTATCTTCAGTAGTTCACTTTATAAGTATGACAACTCCTACCTAGAGAAAGCACCACAGCCCAGCTTGTACAAAGGCAAATATTACATGAATAATTCTTAGCTCCTATGAACAACAGTATTATTAAACTGCTCTCAATTTATTGCTGCTGATTATTTTGCAGACCAGACAAATTTTATTTTATTTCTAAAACTGAGTCACATACAAACAACATTTTTAAAACTCCCAGACAAGTTCAATTTGGATTTCAAAAGCATCAATGAATCATTTCACCAGAGAAGATTTTTGAGATTTGGCAAAACTACCAAAATTCAATTCTGAATTTCCTTTTTCCGATTAGAATTACATTTTAGTCCAATTGTGTGCTGCTATCTTTCACATTATGCTATGTACTCAAAAAATGAGACAATTTCCCTGATCACTTTAGTGTTGGCATATTAGCATCTAAATTCAAAACTGAAACAATAAATGTGTTAAGGAGGCAATTTAACACCTTATTTTTTCCATAGCTGTACATCTTGGAAAATCAGCAGCATTTGCGCAAACATATGTTTCACTTGTCAAGCTTTGGTCCATGAGGTCTTGCTTTGACCTTCAATTAACATTATAAACCTCCATCTCCAAAAACAGTCTTGAAAGGAAGACTGTGAGCCAGGGGCTAGTCATAATAGTTCCTATTATCTGACACATTTGTTCCTAATAAAAAGAAGAAAAATCCAATGTCAACCATTAAAGGTTTTGCTGAATTTTTTCAGTGGGCAGGGAGATATGTATTATAGCATTCTGAGTTCTGTCTCATACATTAGACTGGAGGATTTGGGACTTTAATCCAAATAGTGAAGAAATAATGGTATTCATATTTTAGCAAATTGCAGGATAGTACTAACTTGTGTTGCTAATATGGCTATACCCCTTCCCGCCTTGAATAGAGCATGTGTATAGGCATGTGCCACCATCCCACTTCCTTCTGCTTTAGGGGTCCCTACTAACCCCATGATCACAAATAGACTACATGACAAGGCATTCAAGGGCCTTTTGTAGTTTAGCCTTTGCCTACCTGCTAAAACTTGGTATATGCCTCTGTGCATTTCAGTTAATATTCCTCTTTAGTCAATTCTTCTTCTATAAGTAGAAGTGTACTTACTTACTGCTCCTTTCACCCTTTGTTCCTTTAAACAACTCAATTTCATTTAAAGTGTGAGGAAATTGCATTGGATTCTTTATTAATTCTCCTCTAGCTCTGATATTTTATTGTTATCAGAATCTAAAATCTCATAAGAA